CCAAGAAGGTATATAATTATAACATTAGTTGAAACACCTAGGTTATTATATAAAACCTGAGAAAATGATAATGTCTTCCTGGGCTATCTGAACAGTTTCTCTAACCTTCATTCCTGAGAAAGCTCTAGGTCTTTTATTGAATATCTGTGCTTTAGCCACACCAACCTGCTCACTGTTCTCAGAATGGGGCAGGTGTTCTCCTACACTTACTGCCTTCGTGTTTACAGGTACTTACTGGTACTGATCCAGTGCCCAACTGCTGGCCAACTTTTTGTGTGTGACTCATGTCCCTCATTTTGGAATTATTTTTTATTTTGTATTCTATTTAGTTGCTTATATGTCTGTCTCCTAAAAGACAGCAAGCTCCTTGAGGGACAGGGACCAAGTCCTTTTTATATTCATTTCTGTGTCTACGTCTTCTAATACCACAGCAAATAAAGCCTTAGATTAAACAGGTACTTAATGAGTATTGAATTGAAACCATTATCTTTTTTATTAGCGATTTAGGAAAATGAAGAAATGCTACAGAATTTGCATCTTAGGAAATCTGGGATACTTTGTGATTAAGACCATGGAGAAGGTGTCCCCTAATTGCTGAGAGCACTGGGAAGCAGCCTTAAGGAACTTGTCTTTCTGGCATATTTTATTATTTTTTTAAGATATATTTTTATTGATTTCAGAGAGGAAAGGAGAGGGAGAGAGAGAAAGAAACATCAATGATGAGAGAGAATCATTGATGGGCTGCAGCCTGCACGTGTCGGAGACCACTTATTGTCTTCACTAGCTGAGAAGCATAGAGATCCCAAAAGCTGGTGACCTTTGAAGCCCTAGCAAAGGTCGGAGCTGTGCACCACCCAGTTAATCTAGATAATGGTAGCTGAAGAATCCTCCCCACCTTAATTCATTTAATTCCTTATTGATTAGATACTCATGTAAATCCTTGTTGATAAGATAGTCTGCCTATTACTGGAAATTGCCTACTGATGACCTAGTCTGTGTGTTACTGGAAATTCCCTACCTAGAGGCTATCCCAAGATCAATAAAAGCTTGGTGAGGCGTTAGCACCAGTGGAAGTCCTTCTCCTTGAGTTGGACTTGCCCGCCTGGCTCCCCAATATTTCCAAATTCTCTCTTGTCTCTTGTCTCTTTTCTTTCATTTGTGTGTGGCTCCTCTTCCAGATCCTGAACCCTGAACTACGCGGGACGTGGAGGGAAAACATACCCAATAAGAAAAACCTAAAGACAGTATTTCTAGGGTTTTAGGACGAGGGCAAGGTGATTTTATAATGGACCTTAAAAAGCAGGGAATTGAGTAGGATTAGACAAAGTGTGCCCATACTGGCTTTTAGTTGTTTAGGAGACCCAGATGACAGTCATAAGGTAACTATTTGTTGTAATGTACCCCGCGAATCACACAAGGACGCCTCAGGAAGTCGAATTAAAGAGTCACATTTATTGCAAATCCAGGACTATGAGGGAGCATTTCACTCTCCCAGATCTCATAGTGCCCGCCCCGGACCCAACACCAGATTTATATAGGCAAAGATCACAAAGGTATTGATTACATCCCAAGGTTTGGAATGAGGAACCTAGTTTGCAAAAAGCAGTTTACAGAAGCAGCATGTTATCTAAATTATAGACTGATGACCTAGTCTGTGTGTTACTGGAAATTCCCTACCTAGAGGCTATCCCAAGATCAATAAAAGCTTGGTGAGGCGTTAGCACCAGTGGAAGTCCTTCTCCTTGAGTTGGACTTGCCCGCCTGGCTCCCCAATATTTCCAAATTCTCTCTTGTCTCTTGTCTCTTTTCTTTCATTTGTGTGTGGCTCCTCTTCCAGATCCTGAACCCTGAACTACGCGGGACGTGGAGGGAAAACATACCCAATAAGAAAAACCTAAAGACAGTATTTCTAGGGTTTTAGGACGAGGGCAAGGTGATTTTATAATGGACCTTAAAAAGCAGGGAATTGAGTAGGATTAGACAAAGTGTGCCCATACTGGTTTTTAGTTGTTTAGAAGATCCAGATGACAGTCGTAAGGTAACTATTGACCAGTAAGCTTGATGAATAAGCCGTTAGTTGGTTCATAATTTTGCTTTCTATGAGCAAGTATTTCTTAGAGAGAGTATCAAAGTTATTTTTGTTTGATCTTAGTATTGTTTAGCACAAAAGCAGAAAAGACTGCTTCATTCCAGAATCATTTAACACAAAGACAGGAAAACATGTTGGTTTTTGTTATGCCCAGATTTCAGGATCCCCAAGAAAGAAATATTTTGGTTTTAGTTATTATAACTATTATCTAAGATACAAATAATATAGAGAATGAAGAATGTTGGAATACTTCTATTGAAGTTATAATTCCCACTGGCATCATGATGGGAGACTGTACCTAATCTCAAGTCTGACTCAGAGTTGGAAACACAAATATTTTTCTCGATGATCCCCTAAATATGTTACAATATCTTCTATAGGAGCATAACTCCAACTCAAGCTTTTTCATGACCTTAATAGCTAACATACAAAAATAAACACTTTGTCCAGGGTAGTAAGACCACAAGAATACAGGTGAGAAGAGAAAATGCTATATTTGCTGGTAGCTGGAGGGTCAGTCAGAAATTGAGATGGCTCACTTCCCTCCCCCTTTCTGATAGCAGAAATTTTATGGGTAATAAAGGACATAAAGGAACAAGAAAAAAAAAATGTAATCTGTGCACCCAGTTGGCATGGCTCAGTGGTTGAGCATTTGATAGGGAAAATGAGACATTTTCGGGGGGGCTAGCAATCTGAATTAGTCCCAGTAATCCGTTTTCTACTGCACTCTCTTGCTAGCCGATAATTAACTCCATTTGTGAAAGAATGTGGGAGACAGGTCTGGTCCATCCTTGGTTCCTTCCATGCCAGGTGTCTCCTGGTTATCTGAGCTATGCTGTGCTCAAGGCTGCAAGCTTTCTACAAGATATCTGCTAAGCACAATAAATCTTTCTCTGCCCTGTTTTGTTCTTTTTAACCCCTTCAATATATAGAGAGAAAATCTCATTGTCCAGGCTATTCAAGATCTGGATCTTAGAGTCCCCTGAACCAGCAGCGCTGCATTAAAGGCTCTTTTCTGAACCTCACAGTGTCTGACTGTCACTTCCACGCCAATTTCATAAATTCCATATTTCATAACACATTGGCCAGTCTATTATTATCAGCCCTTTACCACCAGTGACATCTTGAATTGGAAACATCACACCCCAGCTTATTCTGAAAAACCTCAGGCCATGATAGACCTCCTAGAAATGATCTTCCAGACCCAGAAGCCCACCTGGGTGGACTGCAAGCAGCTCCTTTTCACGTTCTTTAACACTGAGGAGCACATGAGAGTAGTAACAGAGGCTCAGAAGTGGCTCCAGACACAGGCCCCGGCAGGAATATTAGATACAGACAGATGGGCGAGGAAGGCCTTCCCAGATGAGGAACCCAATTGGAACCCGAACTCAGAAGATGGAAGAACCGGGCTAGAAAGATATCGGCTGGCCTTCCTCCAAGGGGTCAGGGCCGGAGCCAAGAAGCCCACCAACATGGCTAAAATCTCTGAGGTCTTCCGGAAGCTTGATGAAAGTCCAGCAGCTTTCTATGAGAGA